GTATGGGCGAATGGCGCTGCAACTGTTGGTCGATCGTTGATGGCAACGGGTAGATAAGATTTCATATCTTCGAAATTCACCAATAGGTGGTGTTATATTCTCGTTTATTTACGAGCTCACTTATGTTTTAACCAGCCGGGCAGGCGGGCCGGATATTAGTTCTTTATTTTAGAACAAAGTTCTTTCACTGTATGATCGTTCTAAAACTACAGACCATCCGCTGACCGCTGTGGGAGACGTGCGCCGAGCCTCGATTTGGCGCACGTCTCCCACCTGCGGACAGCGCTTCATACTTGAACATCCTCGAGGTCGCGTGCGCATATCCTGCGAACTGCGGCGTCTCATCCGCGCGCGCAGCGCTCAGGATCAATCAGCAAAGCTGTGCACACGCAACCGTGTATCATGTCTCTCTGTTCACTTATAGGTAACATTCACATTCACATATTATAAATATATGAGCTATAATTATATAGCAAATATATTAGCTCAGTGTCGTTTGCGCGCGACGAATGCGCACCGTGTGCAGGGCCGGTTCCAGGGCTGAGGCTAGACAGTATTTTTCCAGATTTAAAGGGCACATCCCCCAAAAAGGGCATACCACCCCACAGTGAGCGCAAAATTTCGAAGGGCACTTTGAAATCTAGACCGTATTTTCCAATACGGCAAACACGGTCTGAATCCGCCCCTGGCAGGGGCGTAGCCAGGATTTTCAAAGTTGTAGGCACGACTATCTGAGCGGAGCGCGACCATCGGTTGGCGCGGAGCGTACAAGAAAAATTTGTGTTTACAAACCCCCCAGATGGCCGGAAACGGCCCTTCCCGAGTGTTCATTCTGGTTCCCTGGCCTCTTGCTAACTTAGACACCTCATTCAATATCACTTTTAAACACAAAAAAACACAAACGAGTTAAAATGTAAAAAGCTGACAAGATCGGATCCTAGTTTTTTCGGCGGTAGAGTGTTGAATGAAACGCACGCGATAGATATGACACCTAGATGCACAGAGAATAGGTCACACTAATTTTAGCCATATTCTTGCTACGTTCATTTCAATAGTTTTTCCTGCCTAGACTCTTAAACTCGTCCAGCAAGCTTATGGATTTTAATTATGGGTGTTTAAAAAAAAAAGATAACTTGGCCAAAAAAAGTGTAGGCCCGGGCCTACAGTGCTACATACTGGCTACGCCCCTGCCTGGTGTTCAGGGTACATGTGTTTTTGTTATTTCGGCGCGTGCGTGGCAATCGGTTAATCCTCGCGAACGGTTATTCCCCCGTAACGGTTATTCCTCGCAGAAAAATCGATGTTTACTCTAGGGTATATAAGGTTAGTGGAGCGAATATTGGAAAGGCGATTGAGAGTTGTGCGAAGTGCGAAGCGGTGAGTATACTGACTAGGACTAGTTTCTACTAAGCATAGTTCTATGACTATATTATGGCGTTCGTTGCGTTTATTATTAAGTTACGGTGACATTGTACCCTTTGTATCCTACCTTTCTTCCTATGGGGGATAATGCGACATCCCGTATTGGTACATGTCCGGTTGTGATAGAGTTGCCAAATTTGTTCATTGATACCTAAAAAGTCATTATCAAGAATAACTGTGAGTTCGTTTGGCTGAGAGGGTCTATGTCCCCCGAGGTACTGCCGGAACGTACCCTGGGTACGGTCCGGTATACCGGAACTATGCGACATCCCGTATTGGTACATGTCCGGTTGTGATAGAGTTGCCAAATTTGTTCATTGATACCTAAAAAGTCATTATCAAGAATAACTGTGGGTTCGTTTGGCTGAGAGGGTCTATGTCCCCCGAGGTACTGCCGGAACGTACCCTGGGTACGGTCCGGTATACCGGAACGTACCCTGGTACTATCTAATACGCCGTACCGTACCTCGCCTACTCCACTAACGAGTCTAGGTAGTCGCCTACGCCTACTCCCTAACCCTAACCCGAATCCGAACCCTAACCCTAATCCTAACCCTAACCATATCAAATAGTGACCAGGGTACGTTCCGGTATACCGGAGCGTACCCAGGGTACGTTCCGGCAGTACCCTGGGGGACATAGACCCTATGAGCGTTAGTTTGTTTCTGCGATATAGACATTGTATTTGAATGTCATTTACCAGGTTTACTAAATTCATTGCTTCATATAGCAACCGAGAAACATTTTCTGAGACAAGTTATTGAAAGACATTTATATGGCAGACGACAAGAAAAAAGTAAGTATATCTAGACTTTCTATTACACTGTAAGTTACCATTGAATCAATGCACTGCATTAGCTACAGTGCATACAGCAAGTTTCAGCTAGTAGACAATAGAATAAACAATGCACGTTGCAGTCAGCAATACTGTAGCTAATGTAGTGCATTGATTCAATGGTAACCATAGTGGTAACTTACCTTGGTCAGATATAGTTGTACAAGACAGCGAATTTTAACCAGTATTAATGGCTATAGCATCACAAATCAGGAATAAACAGAGAATAAACACATATGTTGTTATCTACTCCTGATAATGTGAATAATTCAACTATCCCCCTCCTACTCCTCTTCCCCCTACTCCATCACTTTCTCCCCCTCCTCCTCCTCCTCCTCTTCCTCCTCTTCCTCCTTTTCCTCCTCCTCCTGCCCCCTACTCCACCTCCATGACCGTCTTCATTCGATCTCCATCACCTTCGCCGCTCCTCCTCCTCCCCTACTCCATCACCTTCTCCCCTCCTCCTCCTGCGTCTCCTCCTCGCTGCTCCTCCTCCTCCTCCTGCCCCTACTCGCATTCCCTCTATGTCTTCATTCGATCTCCATCACCTTCTCCGCTCTCCTCCTCCTCCCTCCTCCCCCTCCTTCTTCTCCCTACTCCATTACCTTCTCCTTCCTCCTCCTCCTCCTCCCCCTACTCCATCACCTTCTCCCCTCCTCCTCTTCATCCCCCTACTCCATCACCTTTTCCCCTCCTCCTCCCTCCCTCCTCCTCCTGCCCTCCCCTACTGCTCCTCATGACCGTCTTCATTCAATCTCCATCACCTTCTCCGCTCCTCCTCCTCCAACCTCCTCCCCTCCTCCCCTCCTCTTCCTCCTCCTCCTTCTTGAATTATATAAGTATATATATAGGATATATGTATAAGTTTTATAGATGGACAAATTTCTATGTTGAACGAGTGCAAATAAATATTTGTCAGCACACGTACCATATAAGGGCACATTATAAAATTTGGCAAGAAATGTACATAGTCAAAATGCATGGCGTATATATATATATATATATATATATATTATTATATATATATTATAATTTATATATATATATATATAATATATATATAAAATGCGGGGTATATAAAATTGTGGGGTATATATCCATATATATGCATATATGCCTCATACGCCAGGTTAAGGATTATGCACATATCTCAGGTTTAAGTTCAATACCCCATATCTTCACTAAATTTCAGTAATATATCAGGAGTAGATAATAGGGATCCCTATTATCTACTCCTGATATATATATATATATATATATATATATATATATCATATAAGTATATAGATATGTGTGTGTGCGCGCGCGTGTTTATTATATGTGTTCGTAATACCTTTCATTTGTGTTGTTTCAGCTATTCGCTAAGCCCGCGGGCATGTTGGCTTATTCGTACTACTACGGCTATCTGAATCTGGTTCTAAAAAGTGAGTTTGAATGCGTACAAGTTTTGCTCTAAACTAACGTCCCCTGAATGTGCTCAATTAATTAATGCATAAGCTGTCGTCTATTCTATATCACTGAAGATCTGTAATGTAGTCCTGTCCACGGGAAATGAACGTACGTCTGCCTATACCCAAGAGCCGTCGTCTGACTTACGCGTTACCATTTATGTGCCTCTCGGTAAAAAATGCTGTTATATATTAATAATATAGTCCAGCCGTCTTGGATATCGCTTCTCTCGCGAAGACCTAGCGCGACGGGTAATTCGCGCTGAATCCCCGACCGAGCATAATGCTCAAGATGTAGTGCCGGAAAGGCGGAATAAGGAGCGAGACATTGCACCCCGTTGAGGTACGAGAGGACACGATGTATGAAAACTCTGCGCGTGCCAAGTGTGTCCAAGAAGTATTGTCGTACAAGCGGTTCGCCCGTCCCCCGGCGCTATTCTCTCTGATATACCACAATTCTCCTCTCGATTACCAGTGTATAAACTAACATGCGTGGGATAAATGATACTGGTGAACGCCTGCTGGGCCACGCTGACAGCTAGTTAACTGTAGTGCATGTGTAACACGTCTCCGCCTCCTCCCGTGACTCACTTCAAATCCATGCTCACCTATCTTCCCTTTCTCTCTTCTCCTTCTTTCGTATTCTCCTTTCTCCTCTTCCTTCTCTGCCTCCTCAGTCTCTGCGTCCTCATCATCAAACATCGTCATCACCGTCGCGTCGTCATCATCACCATCATCATGTATCATCATAATCATCAATTCCATGGCACTACTGCACTAAGCACATTCATGAGACTCATCGTCCGGTGCGCGCGCACCATCAAACTATCCAAGCAAGGAAGATCGCCGCTATGCTAATGTAAGTCGAGGGCCGAAAGGCGCTGCGAAGAAACCGCTTGAGTGCACGATCCGTCGACCCTGAGTCCCAAATTAGGACATTTTCGCACAGTCTCAGGTCCCGTTTTTAATACGTTCGGACTGCACAGCCGTGAGAGCCGAAGGCACTGCGCAATCAAGCGAACCCGTGTGCATGGTAATCTGATATAAAATAATTCAACGGTCCTACCGCACTCGCTAAGCGCAAAATACTGTTGTGTAACGAGTCGTTTTACAAATGTTCACGTCGATAAATATTTACAGAACAAATCTCTGTACTAAGATCCTCTGATAAATGGTATATACCGTTGTGGCCGAATGGCGCGTTAAGAGCTGCCATGCTGAGCGGTCTGTTGTTGTTGACCGACGTCTGAAGCTGCGTCAGGCACAGTGCAGACTAGAAATTGTCCTTCGGCCTTACCCCGCAGACGTTTCTTCTTATATAACAGCATCTTTTAACAACCCGCTGAAAGCCCAACGGGGAAGCGGCCTGTTATCAGCACGTATTGAGCAATGGTATATCGAATGTCCATCAATATACATGAAATTATTCTATCTTCGACACTACCAAGGTCTAGCTTCCGTCGCCAATACGACTCTCCCGAAATACCCAAGCTAATGGATTTCTTTTAACACTTGTATGGCGTAAATGGAGCTGAACTAAAACGTTGGAATTACCGGCGTCGAGTCTGGCATAGGATTTCCAATCGGGGAATAGCCAATCAGATCAAACGCGGTTAGCGGTTTTTTATACGTTTCGACTCTGGGAGAGGCCCGGGCGAGGGGGGTTGCCGGGAATACGTCAACCATTTGAGCCCTAAAAACCTGGACACGCACGGCTGATACAAATTATAGGTAAACAATCATAGATCTCATACGGTGCTAAATGAGTATGTACTGTTCTGCTTTGCCTCCTAGATTGCGCATCCGCGATCGGCGAACGAATTCCGGGATATCCATCATAGCTATGCTGTGAATGTAAGGGCGGAGATAGGCCGGCTTTGGTGCCCAAACGTTTTAGATTCCGAAGATCTGATGTCTGATCTGGACAATTTATGACACATTTTCCACTCGAGGGTCCGTTTTTACTTAGCTTCGCTCTCATCGACTTGCGAGAGGCCCGGGCGTAGTTAGCTTGACAGCCACGTGGTGGCATATGGTAAAATCATGATATAAAATATTCAGTCCTTTTCCGACTCGGGACAGTCGCTAGGTATCCATCCCGGCGTAACGCGAAACACGCAGTCGCCGAATCACCCGAGACTTACAGGCAATGCTAAGGAAGTGCGACACTTGCTGCTGTGCTAAAATTCCGATGAAGTTCGTACCATGTGGTGCCGACGTTGACTGGCCAAAAATAGAAGTTTTCCTAGTCGGGCTCGGCGTGTTTATGAAGGTAATTTACATTTAATTATATATATTTATAATTATAATATATTACACGTTATATATCGTATACATGAAGTCACAGGGAGCTAAGGTCGTATCAGTAGCATAACGTGTGCTTGTTAAAAAATCTGATAATAAATATTTAAATTTTTACACATTTTAATCTGAGTAGTCTCTATTGCCTATCTCATGACTTTTGTGAGTTCGCTAGTAATCCAGATACTTCGCGATAATCTCCCAGCTATCTAAATGTATGGGCGAAATGGCGCTAGTCATATTTTAAACGCTATGTGTTTCACGACGTATGTATCGTAGGTGGCAAATAGAACTTATCGTTCTCCGTTACGAGAGTGCAAACCACTATGGATATTTGCTATAACTCATCGAGAGCGCTTGGGAAGCCGCGAGCAAGGTCCTCGACTTTACGATACGTGTGTATTGGTAAACGATCTGACGATATTAAAACATACTGTGGCTATCAACGGTGCAACGAGAGCGTCTTGCGGGTGAAAGCCAATCCTGCGCGGCGAGCGACGAGCAATTCTCGCTCGAAATTCTTTCACTCGCCAGTCTATGGCTTACACCGTAAGGTGACGGACGTATATATAGCGAGCCGCACTGCCACCGAGCGGACTATGGAGATACGGAGTCGTTGCGCTCCTGGCACAAGTGATATGAATTGGTCCCTCTCAATGACGAGCCCGAGTGCGTTCTTATATCGCGGTGTGTAGCCGCGGACTGAGACGCTGGGCAGGCTGACAGGCCACAGGTGTGGCAAGGTAAATAAATCACTCGTTACTCATTATATCGTCGAAAATATGAAGCCAACCTTACGAGCTCTCGAGTAATCGTGAGAGACCGCGACGCAGTTCCCCCCGGGGTCGTATATCCCACCACGCTAGTCTACCGATCCGTTCAGTTGAGGCGTTACGTAATGGGCTGTTCATTCGGCTCTCAGCGTTGGTCCCTTATGGCGTCTGAACTCGGACGTCTCTCATAAGTTGGAAGACAGTTTTCCCTCTTCGCGTTCTGCATTCTCGTTCTCTCGTTAATTGTTTCCGTGTTAATAACTGCGAAGCCGGGGAGGTCTGACAGCAGGACTTTGTTATCAGAATAAGCTAGCTAAACTATTGTGCATATATAAATTTTACATGTCACGAGAGAGGCTCAGGTATTCGTATTAGCCTTGCTGAGTGGCGCGAGAGCGCGGAATTACACGCAATTTCGCACAGACCTATAGCGCTTAAGGTTGTATACTGTGGCGAGATGGGCAGTTTGCAATTCAGAGATATTCTGGTACGACGTCTTTGACTGGCAATCACGTAATTTTGCTTTTACGTGGGTTGATTTTTCGCAATTAGTTTTAATCGGGCTGGCAAAAAACCTTTAATTACCCGTAAGTCACATATTTTATAAGTGCGACGTTTCGACTGAGAGGCACGGCATGAACCCTCGACAGCTAAAACTCTACTATGTGTCTATGGGTAAAATATCTTTGATACTATAAAATTAATATCATTGGTCGACTTATAAATTTCGCGCTCTTAAATTATCAACGAGTCGAGCCGCGGTACACGATTACCCTTGAATCCCAATCGCGATCGGCTATGAGGGTACAACTGGCCCGTAATGGCGGTCTCTTGGTAACCGTGTGGTCGAATGGTCATGGTCTCTATTGAAACTGGCACAGTAGGATTGTTAATTTCGGTGAAACGCGGCCAATTACCACAAGTAATGTTCTCTATATACGTTTTCGTTATATTCATGAGAAGCTGCCGGAGCGCCTGAGCAGAGCTGTGTGTGTGTATAAACAGCTGATAATAAAATATTCACAGCAAAGTTACGAGCTCCGGGAATTATAGTTTCGGTGATAAAGGAAGCAGTTCGCAGTAGCATCTGCGCTTGAACTATCCGGTTTTTCCAGCGTCCTGCGATGGAAGATTGTCGTCGTTGTCGATGGTGCCGTAACTGCGTGAATGCTGATGGTCGAATGGGCGCGTTGCCGTAGAGGTTGCGTGATGTCATGTTGACCGTGGTGTCGAAATGTGAGTATATTTCGCCTTCCGCGCGGCGCATATGTGCTATTAACTGATCTTACTTTATAACTACTGTTCGAATCCCTCCTCGCGAGAGATATGCTCCACAGAGGACGCGAGGGCCTGACAGCACGATTGTGCTTGGAGAGTAAAAGCTTGGAATCTATGAACTCATATATCAAATATTCACTTGTCGCTGCTACACTCAGCTTAGACATTGCCCTAAGTGACCGCGATTCGATTCCCCCGGAATCGCCAGCTCATGCTAATGTTGTGCGAATGGAGCTGGCAACGTTGGTCGACGTTGACCCGTTTCGGACCAATAGAGATTTTTCTTCCGGACCGTTTTTATACGTTTCGAGCGGGTCGAAAGACCACTTTTGGTCCTGAGCAGGCAGTCTGACAAAACAAGCGTTCAGTGCGAGTGACAAAGATCTGAATTATAACTTGGGCCAGAGATGATTCACACCGTTCGCGTCCTTTAAATCGGGCGCGTAAAGACAACCCGAATCTCAATCAGGCTAAGTTAGCACGGGTTTCACGGGACGGGATCCTTAGCTTTCAGGCCCGAATCGGGGTAGAGTGATGATACTTGTCGAAAGACGATACCCAGAATATGGCGTGCCACGCGCTAGTGACGAGCAAGTCGATGGGCGAATGGCGCTGCACCGTTGCGCCGGGAGCCTCGATGTAAGTCCCCAGGGCGG